GTGTTTGTGGGTTTGTGTTTGTTTGTTTGTTTATATGTTTGTGCATTTGCGTGTGTTGACATGTGTGGTGTCTATGTATGTGGGAATGTTTTTGTTTTTGTGTGTGCATGTGATTGTGTATGTATGTGTATGTTATGTGTGTTTGAATGAGTGTGTATAATATGTGTATGTGTAGACCAGGCTGCATAAAAAGTGGTCTTGTGTTTGTGGAAGAATGGCTAGTACAGCAAGACTCAACATATTTTTTCTTTGATTATTTATAGTAAAAATTATTAGACGGGTCTGTTGTTCCCCTGGGCACCTGTTCGTAGAAATACCTTACGAAATTAATCAGTTTAAAACATGTTTAAACATCCGTGAGACGAATGCTTAAATAAGTGAGCTATTTGTAATGGTCGTATATAGCCTACCTATAAGAGCTGGAAGTTATTTCGGAAAGCAAATCGTGAACTATAAAGAACATACGGTAGCCTAACAGGGTCACACCGTTAAAAAAAAGCCAATCCGCCTTTACTCCCAAGGGCGTAATGAGAATCTCGGCTCTCGAGGAAATCGTACGCGGTTATTTTGAGCTTTGAAAACAGGACAAAAGTACAAAAAATAAAAACAAAAAAAACATAATAAAGCAAAAAACAAAACAAAACCAAAAGCCAAAACGACGGGCTCACTTTTTTTCTTTTAAATGTGGAAGGGGGGAGGTGTACTAAAGAACCCCAAATACAAAAACAAACAAACAAACAAACAAACAAACAAACAAACAAACAAATGGCCAGCATGTTAGAAAAGGTACAGAAGAGCCTAAAAGACAAAAATATGCAAACGAACTAAAAACAAATAAACAAGCAAAAGCCCCCAAAAAATGGCAAGAACCAATTAGGTAACCAACACCAGACTACCCGCTACAAGTTGATGTTACTATCCACATTTCCGTCTCTGCCAATTGCCTATAGATCTATTTACTACTCGGCGAACGGAAGAAAAAAGGATAACAAGGAACTTGCCGAAAGAAACAACATCGTAACCAGGGAAAACGACCCCTACCCCCATTCCATCCTCCCCCTCCCCTACATCTTTCCTTCCCCTCCCCCAACCCCCATCCGTCCCCCCGGCCCTCCCGATATTAGTGGCGTAGTTATGGAATCACCAAGTCGGGTATGCATAATCTAGTTGAAGCAGAACGTCCAACTAGAAAACGTATAGTGTACATTTCGCTAATTATTATGGTATTCGGCACGAATAAACTCTGGCTGCCTCGTGACATAATTCTCTTT